TTAACTGCATTCATGCTTTATTTCCTGTTTATACAACAAAAAGGACAAGGCAAAGCACAAAAAAGAGGCTCAGTTTATGAATCATGTTTTAAGTTTCAAATCCCTTCAAACAGTGTATGGAGGGATTGTGGTGGCTGTTTGTTTGTTCTATGGTACTTCTCAGGGCCCCACTGTGCCCTGAAAAAGTACAATTTGCGTAGGTCCTGCCTATGTTAAACTGTACCTGTATAAACAGTGAGTAATCCTGTGGCACCTTAGAGACAAACAAAAAAAATATGTAGGATCATGAGCTTTTGTGGGCAAACCCCACTTCCTCAGATGAGCTAGAGTGGAGAGTAAAAAGGGGGGACTCTCACAATTTATAACAGAAAAAGAAGGGGAGGAAGCTGGACAGGAGGTCGAACTGAATGACCTGCTGAGGTCTCTTCCAGCCCTGTGATTCTATGAAGTGCCTTTATGTTGTAGTGCTGGGAACTAATGAGGTTAATTGAGTGGGCTGGAAGTGGCCCATGCTCAGCTTCTGATGTCAACTGGGTGTTGAATGGAAGGAAAGCTGGAGTTCTAATGGGCCATCCAGCTCAAGTCTTTGTACAGGCCCTGGGACAGCATGTCAAATTCACATATGAAGGTCAATTCCACTCTCTGTAGCTGGCTTGTGAAATTCATTTGTAGAAGAACAGCTGCTTTGAAACCCAGTAATGAGAGCCCCAGCATGTTCAAATGTTCCCCTCCAGATTAGAAGTGGTAACACGCACAAACATCTGACTTGTGTCCATTAATCCTTTGTGATCGAAACTGTCCGGTTTGGCCTATATCCATGGCAGAGGGGCATTGCTGGCTCTTGATGGCATAGATTAGGGGATGTGCAGTTGCATGAGCCTCTGATGTTGTGGCTTAGGTTCCTGGGTGAATGTGTCCGAGGTGAGATGTGTGGCTGCTGGAAAGAATTTGCTTCAGGTTAGGGCGGGGCTGCTCAACTTTGGAAGCCCCAAGGGCCACAATGATACAGCACATGCTGAGCACTGCAACTTTAGTGTGGTTGAATATACATTCAAATATGTGCAAAAAGCTTCTTTCACACTGATGGGCATGAATATAAAGGTGAAGGCAAGACTAAACAACACGCAGGCCCCATTTAGGTCAATTCTGCTGATATTAAGAAAATGCAATAGTTGTGCCATTTCCACCCACATGACAGCACTTTTAATGAGCAATGACTGTCCAGGAATTTAACTGCTAAAACACATATCAACAAAAGACCATTCTATTGACTCGCCGTTGTGGAGCGTGTTCCCAGTGGAGGCCATGTCCAAAGGATCCCACCTGTGGACAATGTGTTGAGCCCTGCATAAATCCAAACGGCAACGTGGGCTGTATACAAACAGGCCACAGGCTGCCTGCAGAGCTGCATGTTGAGTAGCCCTGGGTTAGAGGGTGGTATGTGAGCGAGGATTGGCGTGTCCCCCAAGGCCTGTGAGAGTAGGGGATTGTTTTCCAGGCTAGGTTGTAGATTGCCCATGATGAGCTGGAGGGGTTTAAGCTGGGGCTGTAGCTGCTGATCAGTGGTGTTCTGTTTTCCTTGATGGGCCTGTCTTGAAGCAGATTCCTGGGTATTCGTCTGGCTCTGTCAATCTGTTTCTTCACTTCCCCATGTGGGTATTTAAGTTAGAAGAATGCCTGATCAAGATCTTGTAGGTATTTGTCTCTGTCTGTGAGATTGGAGCAGATCTGGTTGTATTTTAGGACCTGACTGTAAACAATTGATTGTGTGATGTGTCCTGGATTGAAGCTAGAGGCATGTAGGTAAGAATAACAGTCTAAGTTTCTGGTATGGGGGGAGAGGTGGTAATGTGGCCATCACTGAAGTGCACAGTGATGTCAAGGAAGTGGCTGTCTTGTGTGGACTTGTCCAGGCTAAGGTTGACGGTGGGATGGAAGTTGTTGAAATCCCTGTGGAATTTTTCAAGGCTCTCCTTCGCATGGGTCCATATGCTGAAGATGTCGTCAGTGTAGCATACGTAGAGGAAAGGTGCTAGGGAATGAGACCTGAAGAAACGTTTGAGGTCAGCCATAAAAACGTTGTTATATTGTGGGGCCATGTGGGTACCCATAGCAGTGCTGCTGACTTGAAGGTATAAATTGTCCCCAAATTGGAGATGGTTGTGGCTGTGGACAAAGTCACGTACCTCAGTCAGCAGGTGTGCTGTGGCATCATCGAAGATAGTGTTCCTGACAGCTAGTAATCCATCCTTGTGAGGTGTGTGGTGTAAAGAGTTTCCACGTCCATGGTGGTCAGGGTGGTGTTTTCAGGAATTTTGCTGCTGCTCTGAAGTTTCCTCAGGAAGTCAGTGGAGTCCCAAAGGTAGCTAGGAGTGATGGGTACATAGGGTCTGAGGAGAGAGTCAGCATAACTGGATAATCCTGCCAATGCCTGAGATGAAGGGACGTTCGGGATTTCCAGGTTTATGGATCTTTGGTAGCAGATAGAATACTCCTGGTCAGGGATTAGCTGGACCAGAGTCCCAGTTTAGGGAGCTACAGTCCATAGTTAAAAGCAGCATTCTCTCTAAGCTGAGCACTTGGGCGGCTAGCCAGGTGAGAATCAAATGCCGCCCAGCTGATTAGCAGAGAGCCCACAGCCAGCAGCCTGTGTTTGTACTAGGAACAGAAGAGTTTAACCGGTTAACCAATAACCAGATGTTTATCAGTTACCATTAATGGTTAAACTCTGCAAGGGGCTGCTGGCAGCTTCATGGGACCACAGGGCTAGCAGCACCACAGCTGGGAGCTGGCAGCCCTGGGAGCAGTTAAAAATTCTAATGGTTACACAGTTAATATTTTTTAAAAAAAAATTTTCCACTCGTCGTTTCTGCCGGTGATACACATCTGCACACACCTTGGTGCATGTGACCAAATTTATTCTGCACATGGATGGATCACATTTGAGGCAATGCTGGTTGAAAAAAATAGTAAACAAAAGATTAGGAATAAATGGGCAGTTTTCAGAATGGAGAGAAGTAAATGGGGAGAAGTGTCCCCCGGAGGTCTGTTCTGGGACCAGTCCCATTCATAAATAATCTAGGGAAAGGGGTAAACAGTGAGGTGGCAGAATTGACAGATGATACAAAACGGCTTAAGATGGTTAAGTTCCAAGCAGACTGTGAAGAGTTACAAAAGAATCTCTCAAAACTGGGTGAGTGGGCAAAAAAATGGCAGGTGAAATTTCATGTTGATAAATGCAAAGTAATGCATATTGGAAAACATGATCCCAACTATACATATAAAACATAAAATAAAATAAATTAGCCATAACCGCTCAAGAAGGAGATCTTGGAGTCATTGTGGATATTTCTCTGGGAACATTCACTCAGGATTCAGAAAAGGGCAACAGAAATGATTAGTGGTATGGAACAGCTGCCATATGAGGAGAAATTCAGACTGGGACTTTTCAGCTTGGAAAAGAGACAACTAAGGGGGGGAAATGATTGAAGTCTATAAAATCACGGCTGAGGCAGAGAAAGTAAATAAGGAAGTGCTGTTTACTCCTTCTCATAACACACACACTAAGGGTCACCAAATGAAACTAATAGGCATCAGGTTTAAAACAAAAGGAACCCGTGGAACTCTTTGCCAAAGGATGCTACATAGGCCAAGACTGTAACGGTTAAAAAAAGAACTAGCTAGCTTCCTGGAAGACAGATCCATCAACGGCCATTAGCCAGGGTGGGTAGGGAAGGTGTCCCTGGCCTGTCTTTTCCAGAAGCTGAGACTGAGTGACAGGAAATGGGTCAATTGATTACCTATTCTGTTGTTTTTCCTCTCGGGCACCTGGCACTGGCCACTGTTGGAAGATTGAGTACTAGGTTAATTGATCTTTGGTCTGACCCAGTAAAGCCATTCTTACGTTCTGAGAGAGAAATCATATTGCTATAAGCAAAATAGATATATGGGTGTGTTGACCAAGCACTAGACAAGACACACAGAGGATGGGGGAAGAAACAGAGGGTTAGAGCCATTACATTGAGTTGCCTCAAGTCACAACAATTTATTGGCAGGTCTCGGAACTCAAGTTCAGAGCCTGAGGCTGGAGATCACACTGCAGTGTGAGGTGGAACTTTGTGTTTGTCATATTAAAGTAGAGACGGACTTTTGTCGTTGATTTTGCCGATCACGTTTGTTGGTACTTGAAATTCTAGTTTAGAACTGTGGCCAAAACAAAAGTTTGTTTGTTTGTGTTTGTTTTTGTTTTTTTTTAACTTTTGTTTTCAACTTGGGTTTTACTAAATGCGGTGGTGTGTGTTGTTTCTGAGGCTGCCTGGGGTAGGCATGGCGTGCTCCCAGGGGAAGCCAGCCCCATCCTTGCTCCTTTGGCCCAAGCCCACACTCCTTCCCTCACCGTACTCAGAGGCTGGGCAAGGCTGTCAGCCCCACTGCAAGTAGATAGAATCCGCTTCCTCTATAAACCTCTCTATGGGTCAGGAGCCAAACCTGCAGCTTTTTATTCACCTAGCTAATTCCTCTGAAGTGAATAAGGGGTGCATGATTTAATCCTCCAAGTGTTGCAGTAATAGGAATGATTCTGTACTCACCTCCCCTCCTCCCCCCCATGAAACAATCTTTATTTGTAAAATCTCAGCACATTTTTGCATGTTTTTTTTTTTTTTTTTAATTAATGGTGGAGGTGTGAATTCTGTGGGAGATCTGTACTGCAGTCTGGTTCCCTGCCAAACTTTTGTCTAAAAGAATTCTTTGAAGATAAACTGTTGTCCGTTTCTATGTTTGCATCTGTGACCTTTTTGTGTGTGTGCTGGGGAAGAGATGTTTTTCCTAGCTAGCTAGCAAGCAACGGGTTAATGATTAATGCCTGATCTACAGTGGGAACATATCAGTATAACTACTTATCTACTTTGGGGAGGTGGATTTCTTTCCCTTTTTTTTTTTTTTTTTTTTTGCTTGGACCTGAGTCCAAACCAGACCCATTTGTCTCAACTTCTTGTCTGCCTTTAGCTAGAATGTTCATATGTTCTGACAGCAATTTCTTGTACAACTTCTGACAGTGTGTTAGCAGCGCACTTACACACTGCCGAGCAGTAAAGCTGTTAAAGTTGTTGAGAGCGAGTTTGTAATGAAGCCTTGAAAGGTAAGATCCTGTTAATACAAATAGAGGTAATCCATAGTTCTCTCACTGCCACCCCTGTACCGTTAAAAGCAAGTACTTGGCACTGAGAAGGCTACGCTAGCAGTCAAGCTAGAATAATAAATTTTGTGGTGTTTGTGGAATGTGGCAAAAATGCCTTTAAAATTAGGGTGTCCATGGATATGGGTTATAGTTACATGCTGTTGATCTGATTTCTTTCTTTCTTTCTCTACTAGGGCCATTGCTGTCTGATTTCAAACTTCTCCAAGGACCATTTCTAGCAGAAATGGCAGGTAACTAGCAGTACTAAATACAGAGAAACCAAACGATTAGAGAAAACGTTTCATCCGTGTATAGTGCTCAGCGTAGTGGATTACGCACAACAAACTTTTCTTCTTCTCTCCATTGGCCTTTTGCGTTCCTTAGAGAGCCTTCTGTTGCTCCTTTTTTCCTCCATTCCTCTTACTCCTGTTCTAGACGGTTTCTGTCCTCAGGCTTGTTGATGGAGCTCATCACCCTGGCCATAGAAGGCTGAATATGAAGATGCTTGTGTGGAGGAAATTGGTCACTGCAGTCCCTTCCTATGGAAATTAAATGTTTGCTTCCACAGCACTTCTAGCTGCACTGCGAACTTGAATCATGGGTTTAATTCTGTTCCCATTGAAAAGAATATCAAAACTCCCATTGACTTCACTGTAAGCCAAAATGAGTCCTGAGCTTTATATAACCTCTAGAATTGACAGTGTTTTGTAGCAAACACATTTATATATTGCTTGCTGTGATCTAACAGTCTTGGCCTAAAGCAGAAGAGAGCACTGTAGAAATCCATGAGACATGTGATCAGGTGTAAGAGAGATTTTTCTTTTATTTCTATTGTCTTTCTTCCAGAGAAACCCCGCAACAGTTTAAAATTGTGTATGTGCAGCAGCTCTGGGGTAGGTGGATAACAGCCAGCTGGCACACAGCATGGTACACAACAATAGAGGAGAACTCTAGAGAAGGAAATTTTGGCCGCTGACAAATGCCTTTAGCAAACTATGATGGGGTCATTTAATTTCCAGGCATTGCAAAATGCAGAGTAAACATGTCTCTGTCTTGGAGAGCAGGAAGACTCGTCTGCACCTACCAGGTTTTGAACTTGTGCTTCCAGGAAATCTTTGAGGCAGATGCACTGATGGCCTTCAGTCATGGAAATGCTGGTGGACTAGAGGGAGAGACCTGCAGTAGTATAACTAGAGATGTGAAGGACTAATCGGCTATCCCATTAGCAAATGCTTATCGGAGAGTCTACAGGCTAGTCAGCTAGTTGCTCCTCCTCCACCCCTTGCTGCTTCTATCAGAGGCAGCAAAGAGGGGGGGGAGTGAAGGGGGTACTTCAAAGCAGCAGCACCGCTTGAAGCCTGGGGCCAGACCCCGAGTACCACACGGCGCTGCCACTTTGAAATGCCACATGCAGCCTGGGGCCAGCTGGGGTGTCCCCAGGCTCCTCACAGTATTTCAAAGCAACCGCACTGTGTGGAGCCCAGGATCAGCTGGGGACTCCCCTGCTAACTTTGGGCTCTGTGCAACGCTGCCACTTTGAAATGCCACGAGGAGCCCAGAGTCATGGGGAGGCCCCAAATGCATGCAGCATTTCAAAACAGCAGCGCCACGGGGTGCCCGGGGTCAATGGAGTTCCCAGCTGACCCCGGGCTCCATGCAGCGCTTTCACCTTTGAAATGTTGCAACAGCCATATGTCTGTTGCTGCACTTTAAAGGCGGAGGTGTCCTATTGACTAATCCAATAGTCGATGCAAAATGCATCGAGTATTCAATTAATCAGTTAGTTGATAGTTAACATCCATAATATAAAGTGGCTGTAAATACATTTGTGGGGGAAGAAGGGCAAAGAAGGGACTAGCGCACCCTGAAAAAGAGGTGGTGGCCAGAGTGTTCATTCAGCAGCAGCGTAAGGCTGCTCCTATTGCTGGTGTTTCTGTAGTGGAGGAGTCAGCAACCTTTTCAAACCAAAGAGCCAAACTACATCAAAATTCAGAGCAAATGATCAATGAAGAGCCGTATAAGAACTCCCATTTACTTGACTGAAAATATACAACTTAATGTTATTGATAATTGACATGATGGTTAATAATAGCATCAATGAAACATTGTACTCACAGGCTTTATTTAATGGGACTTCTGCTGCTGCATCTTTTTGCACATGTCTTTGAAGTTTACATCATAACTGGTCAAATTCAGGTTCATGCTGCATTCAAGCTGCTTGAGTAATTATGAGGTTTTTAAAATTTTGAATTAATTTTTCATTTGAATTTAAAAAGTTGCATGTGTTTTGGGAGTGACAAAAGAGCCCTATTATTTGGTTCCATACTGAGCCATATTTGGCGTGAGAGCCGTAACTTGCAGAAATCTGCTGTGGAGAGTGATTAGTTTTGCCGGAGCAGCTTTTTATCTTCTTGCACAGAGATGATGGGGAAACGTTCTGGGCCTGAAAGGTCACTTTCAGACACTTTCCTTGTCTTCTGTGCCATTTGGAAGTTTTCCCAGGACATTTTTCTTCTTGTCTTGTGATTGTTTTTAATTCTGTTCACTGATGATGAAGACTTGAGACAATTAGTCACTGTGCAATGGACTCCAACTCTAATCAGCACTCAAAGAGAAAAGTGAATATTCCCAAACATGTAGAAATGCACACATGGTTGTAGTCAGGGCTCGCCAAGTGGGGATGAGCCCCACTTGCCAGCCGCGCGGTTCGGCACGCTGCGCATGCACAGACCACATTGCGCATGCGCTTACTGCGCTGCGTGGCTGTGCTGGCTTGTAATCTACTCGCCACGGGCAAGTAATTATACTAATTGTCGAGCCCTGGTTATAGTAGATGAACACATGTGCCTATCTTCCCAGCTGCTAACAGCAGTTTGGATTACACACTTTAAAGGCCCTTTTGGTGTGTTCCTAATGTCTGTATTAGGGATATTAAATTTATATTAATTAACTAATTGAGTAGTTGATGGGATTGCCATCGATTATTTGAATAGTCGATAAGGACCAGTGTGGCGTTCTGCCTTTGAAATGTACAAGAGCCCCAGCAGTCGATTAGTCGCTTACATCCCTAGTCTCTATCATGGTGTCTGAACTGACGGCTTGCTTTGCTAAGGGCAGAGCTGAATGGGACTAGAAGTGTTGAATTTGAAAGGGGGAAAAGGCCATGACATATGAAACTTATCAACCGTAAAAACATCCCTGATATCTGCAGGGCAGAGAGTCCGTGAAGAGTTAGTGTGACTCATTTTCCTCTGACTGGATGGCATCCTCTTTAGTATAATGTGTTTCTAGAGGACTTGTTCTCCTAAAATCACCCTTTACGTTGTCATGAGACCCTATCAGCTGCAGGCCACAAAGCCTGATAGCAGGGCCAGCAAGACTTCCACTGGGATGAATGCTCTTCTGCAAACAAACGTCCATCTCTCTGCCCTCTGGGAGAGGAGAATCCCTGCTTTTCCTCTGATTTGTTTTGTCTGGGTAACCAATATCCACCTTGCTTTTTTGCCTTAATATACTGGATAAAACCCTTCTACAAGGCCACTAGATGCAGTTAGTAATCTGCTCAGCTGGCATCTCTCACCATATAAAGCTACTAAGCTTTTGAGTCCAGTCTTGCTTCTTTTTTGATCATTTATGCCAGTGAAATGCTACTGAATCCAACTGGTGGTGCTTTCTCCCTGGTTTGCGCTGGTGTGGATGACAACACAGGCTATACGCAACAGAGATTGAGTCTTACTGTGAAGATAAATGCTGCGTTGGCCCACTTGAGTAAATAAATTGGGTGTCGGGAGGTAATGATTCTCTTCTCTAATGGGGGGGCATGTTTTTCAGAATAGTTTCAAGCTTCACATATTCTTGATCTGTTCTTCCTATGAGTTTTTCCGTGCTAGAAAGTGTGGGCGGGAGGGTGGTGGTGGAGGGGTCATGTTATTATGATTACTCATTAATTTTAGAGACTGTCTGAATTAGCTAAGATGTGTGTTTTGTTTTTTGTAGAGAGGATAAATAACTTCCCTCCACTCCCCAAGTTTATTCCTCTGAAACCATGCTTCTACCAGAATTTTGTTGATGAAATTCCCATAGACTATCAGAATCTGGTGAAAAGAATTTACCACTTGTGGATCTGTAAGTGAAATTATGAAACTGTTTGACAAATCTGCTATATATTTGAGAGAGTCTGTCTGTGAGTTGTTCCTTTGTTCTAGAATGCCTCTTAATTGGTAAGAGCTAGGACCACCAAATTTGGTAGGCAGCTTTCTCTTAACCAAACCCTGACCTTGCTTCAAGTTATGACGTCAGAACAACGGGATATGCCTGGAATTTGATTTTCTCATAAAATGGAAAGGGAGGGGTCTGGTAAGAAAGACACTTATACTGTAGAATGACCACAGGGGGGCAGCAGGGGGCAAAGGCGGAGAAAGGAACAGTGATCTAATGTATGTTTCAAAGAGTTTTTGTGTGTCTGTCTTCCGGTGCTGGGGGACTTGCATTCCTCCCCCGGCTGTACCTGCTGCTGCAGCCATGGACAGGTATTTCTTGCCTAGCCCCAAGCTGCTGCAAGAGAGGGAGCTGGAGTAGTCCTCTCTCTCCAGGGAAGTCTGCGTCCTGAACCCCTCCTCCCCAGCCCCAGCCCAGAGCAATGATTGAAATGAAGAAAAACAAAATTTATTTGAGTTAAGGACCCGAACAATGCCAAGTAAATCTTCTAGTTATATATATTGGGCTCAACAACAGCTGTAAAAAGGTAGGATCCCGTGTATTAGATCTTTTTAGGGTTTTATGTCTATTCACTTATCAAGAACAAAATGTTCCTTGTAGAATGCCATTTTTATAGTGTAGTTTGTGCGTGATTTAACCTGTTGTCTCTTGAAGGCTCCCATGAACTGTAGAGCATGTACTTCTGGGGTAAGGTGGTGGTCAGTGCGAGGGTGAGGTTTACCATCTGGTCCTTACGTTTAAAACTTTGGGAAGTCCTTTTGACTTCAGCCAGAGTCTGCATCCATTCCAGACTCTGCTCATATGGTCCTGATTACAGAGTCCATGTGTTTGCAAGAGAGAGGAGGTTTTATTTTCGTGTGTGTGTGTGTGTGTGTAACTTAAAAAGGAGAGAATCTGCAGATGTATTTGTTTAAATGTATCCAGGGCTCTAGTGCTGTGCGTGCCCACACACATGCATGCGTCAGCAGATTACTAATCAAACTCCCTCAACCAGGCCCAATTAAAATTCTCCATCATTGGCGTAATAACCTCAGTCCACAACAGTTTTCTTATCTTCCACAAGAGGTATCTCTTAACTATATTTTTTTCTATAAATTCTCTAAGGTTGGGCTACTCAACTTGGAAAGCCCCGGGGCCCACAATGATACAGCACATGCCGAGGGCTGCAGCTTAAGTGTGGTTGCGTATGCATGCAAATAGCTTATTTCACACTGACGGGCATGAATACAAAGATGAAGGCAAGACTACACAACACACAGGCCCTACTTAAGTCAGTTCTGCTGATATTAATAAAATGCAACATTTACCTGATTTCTACCCATGTGACAGCACTTTTATTAATGAGCAATGACAGTCCAGGAATTTAACTGCTAAAACGTATCTCAACAGAAGACCATTATATTGACTACTTTTTTGTTTTGGCTCCCACCCGTGGGCCGTGTGTTGAGCCCTGCATAAACCCAAACCTCACCATGGGCCACAAGCAAACAGGCTGCGGCACACGGGCCAGGTGTTGAGTAGCCCTGCTCTAAGGTTTCTCTTATCGTTGGCATGTAGAACTCTCCTAAAGTTGGTTAGCTGGGCAGTGCTGCTGTTCTAGTCCAAATTGGCCAATTGATATTGGCAATGTTAGAGTAGCCACATTGCTCCCAGGATATGCGAAGGAATATCTGTTACTAAACCAGCTTCTGTTGTTGAAAGACATGAGCTTTTGAGCTCCACAGGACTCTTCTTCAGGTCTGGGGAAGGTAGTAACAATGTCACCGCCAGCTGTGGAATGGGTTGTTAAATACAGGCAGTCCCCGGTTTACATGGATCCGACTTACATCGGATCCCTACTTACAAACGGGGTGAGGCAACCCCGCACTAGCTGCTTCCCCCCAGCAGACCAGGGAGACGTGGAGCAGCTTTTCTCAGCAGACACCTCAGCTTGAGAATAAAGGACTGAGGGAAGTGAGGTGTGGGAGAATAAAACTGAGCTCTGGAGAAATGTTTGGCTAGAGTTTCCCCTACAATATGTACAAGTTCCGACTTACATACAAATTCAACTTAAGAACAAACCTACGGTCCCTATCTTGTACGTAACCCGGGGACTGCCTGTATAAGCAATTAACACAGCTTACAAGAAACCATTCAAAATCAAGTGGGCGATTAATGGCCTGGCGGCCACTTCCCACAACTCTCATTGACCAGGAACAGAGAACAGTGGCCACTGGGAGCTGTGGGGGGCGGAGCCTGCGATGGTCAGTGTCAGCAAAATATCTCACCTGTTGCCCACCGGTGCTGTATGGGTACCAGCATGGGGCGGTAGGTGTCCCTCGATGGACAGTCTTGAGCAGCAGGCTGTTGTTGGCTCTGTCCACTGCACTTGTGCTCTCTAACTGAACAGTTCTGAAATCAAGGGTGAAAACTAGGCTTTCCTCTCTGAGGAATGAAACTAAATTTGACCTCAATGGGTAGACCTGTAGAAAGAGAAAGATGGACCGGGTAAATGCGCTGGAAGCTGGAAAAATCCCTTTTCTCTGTCAACTCTTTCCTCCCAAAATACTTTTAATCCTAGGTTCTCTCCCAGTTACGGAAATATCTCTCATTAAGGGACACCATACACGCTGGATGCTGTGGGCTTCATCCCAAATGTATATTGTGTGTTTTGTGTGTTAGAGAGAGAGAGAGAGAGTAAACAATAGGATGTTCTGTCACTTCATTGTTCTTTCATTATTCTGAGATGCTGTAAAAAGTTCTCATTTTTTTTGCCTGAATAAATTTGTCTCCTCCAGACTGATTAAATGTTGCATGTTGTAAAGCTGCCTTTGTGTGAGATTTTTTGTTTGTTTTTGTTTAACAGTGTCCCTCATTCCATTGAATGGAAAAATGGAAAGATGCCAGCCAGTTAGTCAATGGGGCACATGTATGTCTGAGCAGACCTGGGCTTTCATTAGGCAGTTGAGATTTCCATCTGCTGCACGTTTTCTATTTGGGTCGTTATAGGTTTCTCAGATGTGGCTCAAAGGAGGAGAGACGGCTCCGGAGACGAGACAGTGAAAGGGGGAAGACGAATATTTAAAATCTATACTATTTTATGTAGTGAGACTGAAGGGTCATTATTTTAATTGAATTTGAGCATTTAATAACAAAAGGTGTGTTGATTTAGGGAATCCTATGCTAGAGCTCCCACTACTGGAGAAGAAATGCCTGTGGAGATCCCATATGAACTACCTTTTGCATTACAGCTGTATGGGCACCCTTGTTTAAAGGGGTTTTATTATTGGCTTGATTTTATAGCCCACAAGTTATCAACCAAACATTCTAGAATCGCTATTTAGAAACAGTAAATAGGATTTAACCTTTAGCTTAAGTGACTTTTCTCTCTGCTAAATCGAAGGCATCCACAAACCAGGGCATTTAACACTCATCTTTTTGTTAATCTCTTACGGAGAGCCTAAGACATGGAACTAAAGCCTGCACAACTGAGAGAAGGATGCTCTTTGATGTTGATAAACTCCCCATTTAACCTAAATGTCAGAATAATCAGTTAGAAAGAAGCCTTGAATTGAAGACTCAGCTGCTTGTCTTCCCAGTGTGCTGTTTGGGTACACAATAATTTATGAATTGCTCAGTATCCCCCCAAGTGGATTGGGAATGGGCATATAATTAGCAGAGCTTGCAAGATCTCACACTCCGCTTGATGGTCTACCCCTGCTTGACTGCTTAAGCACTGGAATAAATTGCCCAGGGAGGTTGTGGACTCTCCATCATTGGAGATTTTTGTAAGAGCAGGTTGGATAAACATCTGTCAGGCGTGGCCTGATCATACTTAGTCCTGCCATGAGTGCAGGAGACTGGACTAGATGACCTCTCTAGATTCCTTCCAGTCCTATGAGTCTATATAACTTTTTAATGCTCCACCCTATTCATTCTAAAATTTCTGGGAATGGCCTAGGGATCCGTGGGAAAACCAGAAGGTGACGATGACGTCACACTGAGCTCCTGGCATCAGTTTTGCATGGCCAGTGTCAAGCCCCTCTAATTATCTTTCGATTGAAGAACTGCTAGCTGGAAGCTATTCATGCTTTCCAGCATAACTCCCTGTCTCCTCTGCTCATCCTCCTAGTAGAGGTCAGCATGTTGGCACCCTGAATGACACCTCTCTCAGACAGGAAGAACTAAAACTAATGGGAGGGGGTGGAAATACGTGCAAACTGTGGCATTGGGAAATATGGAACCCTGTTAGGTGGTTTAGGAATGTGAATGGTTAATGTGTGGTCAGGGTCTAGTAAAGATCTGCTAAAGACCTGCTCCAGCCCATCCAGAGCTGCTCCCCATCCCCGGTGGGCCCGACCCACTGGAGCAGCATGCTGCAAAGCGGGTGCACCAGCCCAGCGGGAGCAGCCCCTGCCTGGCTGGAGATGCTCTCGCCCCCAGCGTTCAATTTAGCAGGTCTTTACTAGACCCGCTAAATCAAATGCCAGAAGATTGATCTCTGAGACATGCTTTCGTGAGTCACCTGACTCCTCCACCGGCATCTGTCCCATTCCAAAGCGGACAATCTCTACCACCAGTTCTTCCAAATTACAGCAGAAACCATGCCTCATTGTCAGTGTGTTGGTAATGTCCAGGCCAATTACTTTATTGTAACAGGGTCTCCTTGTGTTATACATGCCATTTGCTGCTGCTTTTTTGAAGTCAGCAAACACTACTTATGCCCTTCCCTCTTCTCTCTCCTAGTTTACTGCATCACATTAGTGGTGAATCTAATTGGTTGCCTGGCCTGGTGGATTGGTGGCGGTTCTGGTGTCAATTTTGGCTTGGCCATCCTTTGGCTTGTTCTCTTCAGCCCCTGCAGTTACGTATGCTGGTTCCGACCTGTATACAAAGCTTTTCGGTAAGTAGACGCTCATCTTTGTTTGAGCAAAGGGTTTCCTCTGGGAGATTGGTTCGGTAATCATTGGCCAAGAGGACAGTGGCTGCAAGCTGTCCTGTGTGTCGGGGTCGCAGCACGTCAGCAGGTCCCCGACCCTGCACCCCCCTCCGCACCCAGACGTGACCCTCAGCCGGCAGGTAGAACAGAAGGTTTATTGGTTCACGGGGATGCAGCATAGCACAGGCCCAAGAGCAGGCAGCATTATTCCTCTCGGGGTGGGGGGGGAAGGCTCGTGGGTCCTTCACCCTCCTTTTCTTCTCCAAGCCTCCTCTCTCATCCTAGCCCAGCGGAGACTGCCCCCTTCTCACAGGCCCTACCCCCCAGCCTGGTGCAGCCCCGCCTATCCTCTGTCTCCCTTCCCGGCCAGGAGGTATCTCCTGTGTCTGGCCCTCAGATGTCTGGGCCCAATACACACCTGGAGTGAGTCATGCTCAGCCTCTCCCCGCTCAGGCAGAGTGTGCTGGGGGCTGGGGGGGAAACTGAGGTACACGTATGTACACACACACACACACACACAGAGCACAATACAGCAAAGAGTGAATGTAACAACACCCCCAATATGTCACATGTCTCCTCTCTTCGAGACAGAACGGAGCAGGGTCACTTCACCAGTGGCCTGGGGAAGTTCAGATCCCCACCGCTGGGATAAAGCATCGACTGTGACATTGGCGCTCCCCTTAGCTTGGGCCCACCATGGCGGCGTCCTGCAGGAGCAGGCTCCATCGCATTCAGCTGCTGGACGACTTTGCACTTGTTCTACTGCATGGGGACAAGACCCATCCCCTGGCCCCCAGTGGTGCAGGCCCGGGCCCGTGCACTGCAATTGTACCAGCCCTTCCGCTTCTCTTGGGCTCTGACAAGGGTCTCTCTGTGCAAACAGCAGGGGGGGCAGGTACTCGTTCCAGTCCTACGGGTGCTGGCGCATAAATGTCTTCAGCATCTGCTTTAGTGTCCCATAGAACCTCCCCACCGTCCTGTTGGACTGGAGCCGATACGCCGAGGCACAGGAGAGCCGGACCCCATACTTCTCCCACGAGCACCGGAGCGCGGTGGCTGTGAAGTTGAAACCCTGGTTCATGGGGACCTCATTGGGGAACCCTACCCTGCTGAAAATGGCCAGCGGTGCATCTGCCACTGTGTCTGCCTCAGTCGAGGGCAGAGCCACGACCTCGGGGTGGCAAATAGTGAAATCCACCACCACTGGGTTGTATTTCTTCCCTGTCCGCGTCGCCTTGCTGAGGGGCCCCACTAGATCCATCGCCACCCTCTGGAAAGGCTCATCCGTGATGGGCAGGACCCCCAAGGCAGCTTTCTTCCTAGCTCAGGCTGTCCCCAGCCTCTGGCAGGAGGGGCAGGCCCCGGGGGACCCCTGCACAGCCGCAAAGATCCCTGGCCATAAAAATTCTGAGCAGCCTC